TGTGAAATATATATATATATATATATATATAATTGAAGTATCATTGATATATAATCTTATTATGTTGGTTTCAAATATACAGCACAGTGGTTCAACAGTTACCCACGTTATTAAGTCTTCACCCCCTCTAGTGCGGTTACTATCTATCAATGTAGAAAGATGTTACAGAATCATTGACTATATTCTCCATGCTGTACTACCTACTGTCTCCATGACCAACTTACACTGTGACTGCAAATTATTGCCCCTTTATCCCCCTCACCCACCTCAGCCCCTCTCCGTTGATAACCACTAGTCACTTCTCAGTGTCTGAGTCTACTGCTACTTTGTTCCTTCTGTTTTGCTGTTTTTATACTCCACAAATAAATGAAATCATATGGTATTTGTCTTTCTCCACCTGGCTTATTTCACTGAGCACAATAGCCCCTGGATCCATCCATGTAGTTGCAAATGGATTTTTCTTTTTATGGCTGAATGATATTCCATTGTGTATATGTACTCCATCTTCTTTACCCATTCATCTACTGATGGACAGAGGTTGCTTCCACATCTTGGCTATTGCAAATAGTGTGGCAATACATAGGGGTGCATGTTATCTTTCTGAATTTTCTTTAGGCAAATTCCTAGGAGTGGAATTACTAGGTTACATGGTATTTCTATTTTTAGTTTTTTGAGGAAACTCCATACTGCTTTCCCCAGTGGTTTCCTGCCATCCATCTTTAACATCAATGCCAGATTAATTTTTCTAAAATATTCATTACAGTGATTGCCTGCTCAAAATGTATCAGTGATTTCTTATTGCCTAAATCTGTGGCTCCCAGACTGTGAGCCAAGGCACCCTTGGGTACATAATCACAGGGATATTTTAAACTTTGGGGGGAATTACAGTGATACTTGACATGTTAGGCAACATGTGAACTACTAGCTCAAAGTAGGTCAGTTTCAACATTAAATCATGCTACAGTGTCATGATTTCAGTGTGGAACAGGGAAGGAAGGCAGTAGTGTCCAATTTGATTCCAAGGTTTGAGAAGTTAAGCAGTATCCAACACCCCAGTAGTAAATAACTGTAGTTATTTAAAAGTGAAATATTTTTTCTTTGGATTTATATATTTTTTTCAAATACCTACTAAGTTGTGAGGATAAAAGTATTCATTGTTTGGATCTAACTACCTAAAATAAACCATTGGTATTTCCTTTGGTGTATCATAAAATATTATTAAGACATTGGGACATAATGAACTGAGAAAATTTGGAAACCTCTGGCCTAGATGATAAAAATCCACATTTAGCCTGGCTTTCAGGTTCTTCAAGACTTCTGGTAACATGACGCAGCTTCCACACCCATTATTCCCTGGCTCAAACCTTAATATGTGGTTGTTGTTGTTTCACCTTGGGCAGATCAGTTTGTCTTCTCTGAGCCTATTTCCCCAGCTCATTAAAAAGGGGCAACAGCTCTCATCTTGCACAACTGTAATGAGGATTATATACACAAGTATCATGCACAGGACATTTCAAGTGCTGTTGACTAAGGATCCATGAGGCCAGGTCCAGGATTGGTTGTGCAGAGCAAACAGCATGTACACAACCATGCTGAGGATTACTGGGAGAAAACAGGTAGCCAGTAACACAAACCTGGTGGATAGTCTGGTATCCACTGCTACAAAGAGTGAACACTCTCAAAGACTAGCTACTGCTCCTAGAAGACAGGAGGATTAGCCTCAGAGTGCTTGATGAGTGGAAGGAAAATATTCTGGGTTAAGTTGAAGTCTTGAACTTGTTAACTAGTTTAACAGTATGCATGGACATATTTAGGTTAAAGGCTATTTTCAGTTCTCATTGTTGCAGTCTGAATAGTTACAGAAATATTTATTTTACAAGTAGCACTTTATTAAAAAAAAGGAAAGAGGTGATTTAAAGTTCCAAGGTGTATTGTTTCAGGTAGGTGTTATTGCTATCTATACCTTCACCCCATTTATTAAGCCATTTCAAGTAACTTCAAGTTCACAAATTTATAATGAGGTACAGAGCCCAACCCAACCAGGATAGGACAGAATGTGTTCCAAGTTAGAAGGGACATCATGGGTCTTCAATGATGTCTCCTGTGGAGCTCCTGTGCTCCACTGTGTAAGATTTTCTTCCTGCACATCTGATTGTGACCTTTTGGGTCCATTGGCTGTGGCTGGCTCAGTCTCCCGATTCTAATGGTGTGCCACTGCATTGCTTGGATGTTGCTCCAAGCTTCCAGGCCCCGCTCTTACAGGCCTCAATTATTTCCACGTGAGAGCTGGCCAAACTGAAGGGGTGGGAAATCTTGCTTAAAGGAGGGATTACCATTCCAGCATAAACTGTCCTTAATCCTATTGCAGAAACTGTTTCATTCTGGGAATGGTGAGTCCTAGAAGATCATGACCAGGAAGCAGAGGTCCTAAGTGGCTTCTTCTGAGAGCTTATCTCCAAGAGGGAGCCATCTGGCCACTTTTGAAAATCACATTTCTAATAACTGCTCCATTTCTTCAAGGGCTGTTGTAAAATCACTTACTTGACTGTTATATAAGGTCTGCTGTTCTAGGAACTGGGCCCTCTCCTCGTCTTTCATCTTCAACTTTACTTTTAAGGCCTGTGTGGAGAGACATTCAAAAAGAAACAAACAAAAAATCCAAAAAACTTTGACTCACAGGAA